AATTGACGAATGAATAACGAGCAAACAAATACTCATGATAACTTAGATGTGTTGACTCATATTTGATACGTGGAGTGACGTTTAAGTGTTTATTCAATGACGTCATTCCGCCACCTCTTCTTTATTGTGAAGACAGAATTATTACATTATTTCGAAATATGTTTCTTTCAAGTGTTTGATTTTGATGGTTTTTGTGAATTGAAAATCATTTTCGATTTCCTGTGTTTTATTATTACTTTTTATATAATTATAATCGTGACGTGCAAATATGCGGTTCATTTTAAAAAGAACAAAAACGCATATAGCTTTTAAATTTATAAAAAAGTATTTGAGCTAACGAAACGAGAGTATTTAAAATTTTTTTGTTAAAGTGGTACATTTAATTTAAGAGATTTGGTTGCTTTATGTATATTTCAGTTGTACTACAGTAAGGTGACCAGAGTTTTCTAAACCATGATTTGAGGAAAAATCAGAGGAGAGTCCTTAAAAAAGATTGTGATTTGAAGGCACCCGTATATTTATGTAAAATGTAAATTTGTATATGCAGCAAATATTTCTTTTTTATTTTTAATCGATAATTAATACCAGGTGCAGAGATATCTTCAAACTTAATTTCATTAATAAGGAGCTTTGACATATTTTATGATATTTTTTGATGAAGTTATTTTCAGCTTGTTTTCTTTTTAGATTGCTGATTTCTAACTTTTCGCTTGTTTTCTCCGAAATACAAAATTATATTGTTTATTAATAATCTTATTTATTAATTATTGTGTTTAAAAAACATGAGTTTTTTTTTACATTTTACTGTTTTTAAAAAGGATTAAAAGTTTTCGGATAAATATGAGAACATTCGAGAACATGTGTTAAGATTTGAGATGTTAAGATTTGAGATTCAATATATTAGCAAATTGATAAACAAGTTAAACTGCATCCTGTAAAACTGAATCCGATGCAATATATTAACAAACTGATAAACAAGTTAAAATGCTTCCTGTGAAATTGAATCCGATGCAATATATTAACAATTTGATAAATAAGTTAAACTGCTTCATGTGAAACTGAATCTTCTGTAATATATTAACATATTGATAAACAACTTAAACTTATTCCTGCAAAACTGAATATGCTGCAATATATAAACAAATATCGGAGATATTTAAACTGGTCATCTTACCTAAACTTACCTTAACTTATCTATTGCTGCCATTTATTGAGGATATTATCAAGTAATCTTCCTATTTAAATTTTATACTCTTATTTTTATTTGTAAACATCTAGACACTTGCAAAAAAATTTTTTTGGTGTTACATTAGCTCAGTTAACAACATAAAGGTAGCGAATTAGCCTTTTTTGTCAAAAAAAAAGTCATTGGGGCATATATATCATAAAATAAGTTGTTGTTGACATTTAATTGTGTCACTAGACCGAACTATAAATTAACTCTAAAATGTTCAGTTCTTGTTTAATTTTGATATAGTTAATATTAGCTGTTGTACCATTTGATTCCGTCATCAATTCAACCTATTTCAGTTTGATGAATTCGTATAATTGATATTTAAAAATGGTTTTTATATTAGAAATTTAATTAATTACTTTGTAATTTTGTGTTTTAATTATTCGTTTTATCTAAGATTTCGAAAAAAAAAATCATAAAAACTAGCATAATCTTACATAACTATAACATAACCATATGATAGTGCAACGAAAATGCATAACCTTTTTACTTTAATAAAATTTTGTTTCGATAATGATATTTGATAAGAATTTTTGAAATAATATTTAAATTTACTGTATTTCCTCATTTACCATTATCTTAATTAAGTACATATCATGCTGTAATTAAATACGCTTAGAAAAATTATTTTTTTTGCACCAAGTATAATTTCAAAATTCTTTTCGTATAAAAATCTCGATATTTCTTAATATCTGATTAGCATAGGATTTTTAAATATTTAAGAAAATTTTAAACTTTCAGATGGATTTAATTTGAAATTCAGCAAGCATTTTTAATACAAATTAATAAATTATGAGAGGAATAATTTTCATGGAACTTTTATTTTCATTCTTTTTAATATTTTTTAGTTTTTCAAATTAAAATATTTCTTTATAAAACGTTTTCTGAAAATGTTTAATTCAAATCTAATCCTTTGAGAAATTAAAAATTTGAAAAACTAGCACTATATTTATCATACATTTAAGATATTTACATATTTGAAAGAAAACAATTTTGCAGTCAGTAAATTTTTAATATACTACGTATTCTCAAAATTATGTAGCAGTTTGGCGATATTCTGCTCAAACAGCGAAATAATATGTATTTTTTAATAATTTTCATTTCATAACAAATTATCTTCACTATTTCTTTCCTTTTTAACATTTTTCAGAAGAAGTAAAAAAAAAATGAAGCATAGAATATAAATTTATTACGCATTCATTTAGATTTTATGAATATTTTAGAAAAGGTACAAAACAATAGCACTATTGAAGGCTAGGCAAAAAGATAAATACCTAATCTTTACAAACAAAAAGACTAATAGCTTCCTTTCAAAATGCGCATCCTATTCTAATTTATAAAACATAGAAAAGGGTTATAAAAGAATTCTTTGTAAAAATTTCCTTTTATGTAAGCAAATACATTTTTAGTAGCTAACCATATTGGACTGTTTTTGCGTGTTACGAGATTAGAATCTGTGTTTAGGTTTAATGCTTAGTAGGAGGTTTTTAAATATTTCCAAGAAAGTAGAAGAGTTCTACTTATGACCAACTTGTTCTACTTAGGACCAATTTTAACTTTTTATTTTTCTACTCAGGAAGTAATAATGCATAAAAGCACGAAAATTTTGTTGGATGACACAATTTTGCCTATTTTAGCTACTATATTTTTTTGTGAGTGAATTCTATCAGGCCCTTAAAAAAATTGAAATTTTTATAGAATAACAAAGTTTAAATGAACAGCGTTTAACTATAACTATAAATAACGATAAAATAGTACAATATTTAATCATAAAATCAACCTTTGATCATAAAAGCAAGCGAAATGGCTGTATTCGTAATTAGGGTTGCATTGAATCATGATAACAAACCGTAGAATCTTGTAGAAAATGTAATATGGAATCATTCACATGATGGTATATTTCAACATGGCTTCATATAATGGTTGCAAAAAACCTTGTAATAACGTGTAAGCCTTGTAACCCTTGTAACTATATTTCAATACTCATCAAAATTTCAAACAGTATAAAAAAGTTTTTTGACAAAACTTTTTCCAATAATTTTGATAGCAAATTGTTTGAAAGTTAAAAGTTTTGAAATGTTAAAAAGTGAAATTTTTCTTTTAAAAAGTAAAGACACAGATTAAAGTTTAATAACATATAAATAAGCTTTTATAAAAATATGCAGAGTATTAATAAATAACGTGATTTTACATTTTAAAATAAATTAAATTTTTTAAAGAAATTCTTGTGAGAACTTGGAATATTCCGTCAAATGTCAAAAAAAACTTTTTTTGTTGCTTTTCTTTCTCTTAAATTAAAAATGTTTCGAGTTTTCTGAAATTAAATGTAAATTGTCCTATAAGGCCCATGTTTATTGATATACAAACTACAAACTTTGGCCTAAAATTTTTTCTCTTTAGTGTTTTTTCGATTAGAAGTTTTAAATAAATATGTTTTACTGATTTTAAGTATCGAGATAGCTTTTTTCTATTGGCTGTGCTTTTTGGAGATTCATTGAGATTATATATACTTTATAAACAAACAATCAAAATCAGCTGATTAACTTTAAATTGATTTCAACTGTATTATGCCTATTTCAAATATTAAAGTTACTTTTTCTTGTCTTTCTGCCTTTAGAATTATAGAGTATTTACTCTACGCTTATCCCACTTAAATAATTTAAAAAATAAATCTTATAGAGAAAAAATTTCTTTGCTCAAATCAGCACATCAAAACATGGTTGAAATTAGCTTGAAAATTATGTCGATAGAACTGTGACTTACAAAATTGCTATTAATTATTCGCTTATCAGGATTATAATCCTTAATAATTACTATTACTCGATTCTCATAACTATAATCCGAATAAAGATTTCGCTTCTAATAATTATAATTATGTCGCATAATTATGTCTAATAAAAATAATTTTGTCGATAGAACTGTAACTTACAAAATTGCAGTAATTATTCTCTCCTCATGATTATAATCCTTAATAATTACTTGATTCTCATAACTATAATCCGAATAAATGTTTCGCTTCTAATAATTATAATTATGTCGCATAATTATGTCTAATAAAAATAATTTTATCGATAGAACTGTAACTTACAAAATTGCAGTAATTATTCTCTTCTCATGATTATAATCCTTAATAATTACTTGATTCTCATAACTATAATCCGAATAAATGCTTCACTTCTAATAATTATAATTCGAATTAATTATTTGATTCTCATAATTGTAGTCCAATTTAATAATTCGCTTCTCATAATTATAATCCAAATTAATCCATGATCAATTAATCACTTCTCATAACTATAATCCGAAATAATTATTCTACTTTCATAAATATCAAAGCATTTAATTATAAGAATTTCGTGATTAAATTAAAAAGCGCTGTATACAGGTAAAAAATTTAATGATTATTATCAACGTTTTACCACAGTGGGGAAAAACAAACTTAGATATGCTCAGAAAATTATCTATTGTTACTTAACACGACTTTGGCAAATTTCCACCGCCATCTCCTCCACCACTTTTCTTAACAAATTAGTCGTGAAAACCAAGACAAATATAACAGTAAACTTTTTTGCTGTAAGTATCTCGCATAAAATATATTTTACCTTAAAATCACATTTTAAAGATTGCAACCTCGCATTGTGTTTGTATCTATAAATGATGCTCTTCCTAAAACATAAATGAAATGGCAAAACACAATGGAACATAATTAAATTTCATCAAAAAAACGAAACTACTATAAAGATAATTGATAGGCCATACATATTGGATATTTATAACCGGACATTCTCAACTGACGTCATCAACTCGAAATAAAAGGAGATTATCATGGTTCTTCGTCCCATTGTCAACATGGAACTCCTATTATCTGTCTTTATAATAGTTAGTTCTATGCTTTTAGCATTTGCCCAAGGTCCGGCTTGGGAAGGACGTGGTGAAGAAAGAGGACCTTCTTTTGGCGGATCGGAAGGAGAAGATAGATTTTCAGGACCCAGAGGGTTTGGTGGTCCAGGTAGACACAGAGGACCTGGTGGTCCACCTGGGCACAAAATGCCAATGATAATGATTCCCATGTATAGTGAGTGTCAGAATTTTACATCTGTCATGACTGAGAAATTTAAAGGTGAGTTAATATCTGTTGTAATTATTTTTGTGATTGTTTTAAAAGGATTAAAACGTTTTTGAGATATTTCCACAATGCTTTTAAATTTATTAATGTATATTTTTTTAATCTTTAAAGTTAAATAATAAAATTGTTTCTGTCGAGAAAATGGAACAAAAATAAAATTCAAATTGTAATAAAAAATGCTAAACTTTCTTTTCTTTTTTTTTTCAAAATTTGTTTTTACTTTTAGTACATACTCTTTAAAAACTAAAAACTCTCTTAAACTGAAGTTTTAAGCTTTTTATAATAAAATATATAATCTAAAAAGCTTTGGGCATTAAGCCAGAGTTTCATATTCTTCAAGAGAGCTTTCAGGGAGAAAAACATCGCAAACGACTTGAAGGCTACAAGGTATTTCTGTGTATTCTTAATATGTTCTGTGTCTCATCTTATTATTATGTATTATCTTATCTTTGTTATCTAGAAGGAATTCTCTAAATTTATAGAATGCCCATTAGAGTATCTTTCGCGAATGAGTGCTAAGGGACAGTTTTGGGTAAATTTATTAAGATTGGAAAAAGTATGGTTTACTCCTATTTTGTTCTCAGCCGATTCCTATACATTTAATATAATTGTTTTTTAAAATTTACTGTAACTTTTCTAAAATTACTTATTTTTTTATAAAAAACCACCTCAAATTTAAAAAAATAAAAGCAAAACAGCATATTTTTACCTTACATTACAAAACTAAATATTATGTTCACTTAATATACATATTTAATAAAGAATGCTCTTAATTGTTTTTCCTTTCGGAGTACTTTTTACACAACGTGTACCAAATTCCGCTTTTTTTAAATATCATAAAACTTATTTTTTGTTTCAGTCAAATTCTTATTTTATCTTTTTTTTTAAAGTGATCACTGTTTAAGGAAAAAATAAGTATTTTTTTATTTTAAAATAAATCAGAAGCGTTTATATAAAATAAAAAAATTTCACTATATTATTATAAAGACGTTTCATTTCCCTTAAACTTAATGGAGAATTCGGAGCTAAACTACGAGAGTACTGGAAACCATTACCCACGAGTCTCATGTAAGTTTACTCTGAATTAAAATCAGAAATTAAACTCTGAATTAAAGTCTGTGTAAAGATATTCGAGACTGAAATTTTGCAGGAGGAACATAAATAAAATCCTAATAGCGGCTCTAAGACATTAAGACGTTATCAGACACCCTGCTTTTAGCAAGGAAAATCGTACCGTGGCTGAAGTTTGGTAGGCGAGAACGATGCATCGTATTGTTCATTCCAATTAAAACAGTTTAACTGCTTCAAATTATGGAATTCTAAATGTTTATATATTGATAATATTAGGCAAATGCACACTTGATCATTATTATGGTCTTGTGAATTAGTTTATAGTAGAATTAATTTATTTGTGTTTAATTAAACATCTAATATATACACATAAAGCTCAAATTACGACACAAAAAAGGCATACTGTATTGGCGGCTCTGTAAAAAAGAGCCTTTTTCAATGTCAAGTAATACAGAAAGTTTCAGTGCAGTCATTTATAAGATTATTAATAAATGTTCTTATTTATAACTGAAATTATGAAATGTCTGTTTCTTGTGTGGCTTTTTTTTTGGTTCTATAAACAAGGAGCCTTTTCAGTGCTAAAAACACAGAATATAAAAGTGAAGTCATTAGTACTCAGTAAAATATTGTACCAAGTATGCCCTATATTCATTTAAATCAAATATAAATGCTTATTTTAACGAAGAAACCTGATTAGTGCAGTTTCTAATAAACAAAACGTTCCAAAGTTTGCTTTTCTTTGGTTGTCAAATGTGGTGGAGTTTTTTTTATTAGAAAAAAATAAACATAATAGAATGTAGAGGAGGTATTATTGCATGTTACAATAATGGCTTCAACTAAAATTTGCGTGCAATGAAAAACTTAGTTCGCAGAGAACAGATAGTACAGTTAAGGCGGCGTGATTCACTTTTAAGATATAAGTCTCTCACGCGATTCTTTAAAAAGTATCTAAATTTTTAAATTGTATGTCTAGTTGAGAAAAAGAATCACGTTAGTTGAATTATATGTAAAATAATTTTTAAGACTCTTGAAGAAACGGAACTATTAAATAATTATTTGGAGTTAGCCAGTGTAAACAAAGGAAAACAGTAACGCTGCTATTAAAATTCGAATGATGATTCTAAATAATTTTATTTTAAAACTCAATTTCAAATATTTGAAAGTAAAAATAGTTTATTATTTATTTTCAGAAATGTGGACGAATAAAGAGATCGGACCCGGACAGTGTGAAGGAGATCACCATGTAAGTCGTAATTGTATTAATTCTTCAAAACCTCGAAATATTTATTCTAAGATGCTTTATTTGTTGTTGATGCATTATTTGCCGTTATTTACCATTGTTTTAAGCTTGGAATAGCCTTAAGTCCTGAAGTGGACTGATCGTTAGGACACGGTTCTCAGTCAGTTCACCGAAGTCAAGCATCATTGGCTACGATCAGTGACGTGACCACTTGGATCAGTCTGCATAGGGACCGAGGGTATGCGGTATTGGTTCTCGTTGAACTGTTCTACCGTAAAGTGCTCGACTTCACGTGAAAGGTCACCGGGCTACCGAAGCGGTGGTGCCCTCCCCTCTGCAGAGGATCAAAATTATGATGACATGTCTTCGGATCATTTTCAGGGATGTTTCCCAGACCGTCGCCAATGGCCCATTGTGCAGCTCTAGTGCGACGTAAATGAACTACAACTAGAATAACCTTAACAATGTAATTTTTGTGTAATTAAAGAGTGTTTCTTGAATTTACTTTTTCAAAACTACTATATTCTTTATTCAAAGATAAAATCTCTCTTAATAGTGTCGTTATTTATAACCAACAATTTAAATCTGATGCCATTTAATTGGAATTTACGTATTTATTTTTACAAGACTGCAAAATATTTCAATTCTCAGATACGTCTGTAGTCTTTAAAAACTATAAATAAAAGTCTCAGACAACGGTAGATGAAATCAAATTGTTAGCGTACGCAATATTTTATTGAAATTCTTCTTCTTCGTGCAACTTCCCCTTTTAATATACGAATAAAATAGTTATATTTGGTGCAAAAGAGAGCAATTATTTATTTATTTTAATATTTAAACAATCTTGTGTTGTGAATTTCTAAAGGAAATGCATTTTAACATCTATGCCACAGGTAAGAAAACACTGCTGAAACATTATTTTATATGGCTTAGACATAGATTAGATATGCTTAAAAATTCTCAGACTTGTCAGATTTTTACACATATTTTTATAATCTCTTTTAAATCTTTTATGCATAGTTTATGCATAGTAGCAATCGCAAAGCTTTGAAATGAATTACAAAGCATAATGGATTGTGTTAATTTGCTCATGCGTGTTTCATCACATTTTCATTGATCTGATAAAAATATAAGTTAATTTTAAATTTTTAGTATTTTACTTGATTTCCGAACCAATTTAATAGAATAAAAAAAATAAACACAATCGAAAACAATCGATTATGTAAAAAACATGTTTTATATTTTTTTATTATTTTTTATCATTGAATTTAAAAAGAAATTAAGTTGTAACGTTTATATGATTTCAAACTAAGTAATTTTAAATGGCAAAATTTGAAACTTGAAAGAAATGAAATAAACCGTTCTTAAAAGGAAAATTTAACAATGCCGATTTTAAAAAAAAAAAATCATCTCAGGAATTATTCATCCGATTAAGTTCAAATGTTGTTTTATGTTATTTACAACCATGAAGCACAAAATGAAGTAAAGTTTTCATTTAAGAAAATTTATGGACCAATTATTCATTGTTAAATAAATTAATAAATCTAATTTAAAAATTATATTTTACATGAATTCATATTTTGCTCATAACATTTGTTAAAGTAGTTTCATAATTGCACACATAGTTGCACAATAGTTGGAAAGATGTGACAAAATATGCAAAAATGAAATTAACATAAACTTTAGGCCCATAACTTTTATATTGTGGTAACCACCTTTCCACACTTAAGGCTCAAAAATCGATATCCGCCCGATATATATATATATATATATATATATATATCGTTTAGGAAAATAGAATAGTTCTAATAATTTTTTTTAAAATAAGTCTTAACACAATATGTTACATCTATAATAATTACCACTATTTAATTTTTAAAAAAAAATTGAATTTCACAAAATTGAAAATTTTAAAAATCGAATTTTTAAAAATTGGAGGAAGCGTAAATGACACCAAGACTTATTTTCGAGGAAATTAATAGAATTACTAATATTTTTTGACTGGGTTATAATTTTTTAAAGTCGCAAATACGACATTCAAATATGGTGGAATTTCTCACCATCACTGTAAAAGAAAGTTTGGATAAAAAGATGCAGGCACCCTGAGTGCACGATCCGAAAAATCTATTTTACATTAAAATCTATTTTAAACGTATAATTTTACATCGCAATTTTTACAGTAATATTTATTTAATTACAGTGATTCATAAAAATTACTGTAATTATGACAGTATTTTAGATTTTTTGTTAAGTAAAATTTGAAATTAAAAAGTATCGATGTCAGTACTTTTTACCTTAATTTTTTATGGAATTTCTTACAGAGTAATTATTTCTGCATTGTATAACTTGTTATTTTTTACCTAATCTCTAAGTACAATATTTTATACTGTATTACAATATTGTATATTGTATTTCAATAATTTTTTTATTTTTATTTCCAATGAGCTGCACAATCGGTCTTCCCGATGAGCAGACCTAGTGCGTTCTCCAGAGGTGGTATCCACTCTTTCAGGACCACCACAATCGGCTGGCATGTTAATTTGGACGTCTAGTTCTGCCACATTAGATGGCAGCACTGAGACTCTATTTGGATGCTAAAGTGCACTAGGAATTTAATTTTGCTGGAAATGCCAAGAGCCAATAAGGCACTCCAGGGATCTTTTACATGCCACATAATCATACGACGTGGCAGTTGAGAATTTTCTGCATCCCGAAAATCCGGTGTCTGGGCCGGGGATCGAACCCGCAGACTTGGGCTCAGAAGGCCGACGACAATCCAACTGCGCCACCCAGTCACGTATTTCAATATTATATATTGAATTACAATAGTGTATATTGCATTTTAATATTGAATATTGTACATTTTGTATTTGAATATTGTATATCAATATTGTATGCTGCATTTCAATAAAATATTTTTTGTACAGGATTGTATGCTGAAAGACATGGAAAAAGTTCGATGCCGGGTGCAAGCTACACCTACTAAAGAATGTGTAGAAAAGCTGAGGGCGTTTATGCAAGGTGACACTTGTTTAAATGATGGAGAGGGTAAAGATGAAGATAATGAGCCTTAGTATGAAAATAAACAAAAAAAATAGTTCTGAAATAAATAGAAAAAGACAAAAATTAGAAATAAAGAAACTATAATGTTTTGTTTTCCTCTATTTCTGCCATTTTTATTTGAAAATATTCTGCATCAAGAAATGTGAAAATATTCTTCGAGAAATTTGAATTGTTCTTTTTTTTTATTTCTAATGGTAAAGCATTATGCAAGAACAAAGTAAGTTCTTAAGTAAAGAATTAAGAAAGAACAAAAATGTCCGTAGTGAAAAAAAAAGCAACATTTTCAAAAAAATGGACTACACTCCTGAGATTGCAGTTTTATTTTGTAGCAATTATATCTTTGATTATCTTTAAAAAAGCTTTTCTAAAAATATGATTAGAGTATCTTTAAAAAATATTTGTGTAATACAGAGAAAAGAATTAACTAAAAATAATCCTAAACATGAAGATAATTTTTTCAAATAAATGTTTGGGGACAGGATTGCAAGATTGGCAGGGCGCTTGGCAGATCCACCGATCAAAAACTCCCCATGTAGTAAAGGGTGACTGGTGCACACTAAATCCATCGGATCACAAAGTCCCCCATGTTCCCAAAACAAATTATACCTCTGGGGGTACTTAATTGGAGATTAATCGTTCTTTGGTTAACGTCAAAATTACGATTTGTGGATGAATGAATGAATGTATGAATGAGTTCATGCTATAAAAACGGTTGTGAGGTATAGGTGTGGAAGAAGTCGAATTCTTAGTCATAGATGGCGCCACTGGAGAACAAGAGCAGTCGCACCTCTTTCCTTGATGGCCTATGAAAGCAACAACAACAAATTAATATTCAAAAATGATTCTGCATGATTTAGTTCAATAAAAAATGTTAAATACTCAAATTTTTAAATAAGTTCAAAAAGAGTAAAAATTGAACGGTGTGAATGTTAACTAGATTACACGCTGATGAATTCATTTTTACGGAACATTTTCTAAAAACTGCCAATGCTCACAAGCTATTCTGTTAATAACACTTCAGATTTATAAAGGAGTGCTGCTCTAAAAATTTGATTCGAGTATTTCTTAAGAATTATTTGATGAATATGGTGCAGGGTTTCTAAAAAATGTTAAAAAACAAAACAGAGATACATTGAACATATTTAAACTAAATATTTAGGCGAAGTCTATCATTAAATTATCTAAATTGCATAAAAATAGCTAATACGCTCTAAAATTTAGTTTTATTGGAGCAGTACTTTCAGAAAAAATGTATCTTTTTTCGTCACAGTATAAAAAAAAAAGCAACTAAGAAGGTAGTTAATAATTATAAAAAGTACGCAAGGAGTTCTTGAAAAATCATATGAGATATTTCTAATGCGCATAGAATAAATAAAAAAAAACAGTTTAAGAATTATTAAAATCCGAACTTCTCCATAAAGTAAAAATTAAAGGCTTTTTTAGTCAAAAAAGTTTCCCAGTAATGGTTTTACGCAAATATATTTTCTCAGATTTATGTATATAAAAATGAATGTCAGTCTTTCTGTCTGTCTATCTGTGCGTCCTTTATAGACTCCTAAATCATCTGATCGAGAGCGATGAAATTTGGCATACCGATAGTTCGAGAATTTCTTAGGAATTATTTTATTAATATGGTGCAGGGTTTCTAAAAAATGTTAAGAAACAAAACAAAAATATATAGAAATTTTTTTAAAAACATTTTGGCAAAATCTATCATTAAATTATCTAAATTGCATAAACATAGATAATACATTCTGAAATCCATTTTATTGGAGCAGTAGTTTCAGAAAAAATATATCATTTGAAAAGTAACTGTCAACATAAGAACATTCTACAGCGAAGAATGAAATGGAATTTTCTGATTGGTTAAACATTAGAAATTGTTTAAATTTATCTATAGACGACGAGGTTTTTTACAAGCTATTTAGTACACTCTAGCTATTATTTTTTTAGGTTTTTATGGTCCCTCTAACGGAATAAATACCGTAACAAATCACTAGAAAAGGATAAATTTTGACTGTCATAATTTACATCAAGCAATAGCATAATGCCAAATGATATTGAATACAGTTAATCTCTATTCTGATGGACATAAAGTACAAAAACATGTTTTGCTTAGTTAATTTAATAATGTAAAGCTCCTTGAAGGGAAACAAATAATAATAAATAAAAAATAGAAATTATTTTAGCTTTATTAATTGCGTCAAAATATGTCAGTTTTGTTCATGATTTCGTACTGTTGCTCGTTGAGTTGTTTATTATTGATATTTTTTTTTCATTTTATTTACCTCGTATGAAGAGCAGCCATTCAGCTGATTTAATATTAAATTAGAAAATAGAAGTTTGTTTAAATGAAAAAAAATGAAGGTTTTCAGATTAAATTTTGAAATACATAAAATTAAGCAATTTAAAGAAATTATTATTGATTTTTAATTTTTGGGTCTTTTAGGTCTAAGTAAACCTAGGCGAAAAAAAGTCTATCACTATGATAACTATTGTTCTAACCATTGTATTTTCCCTTACTTTATTCTTAACTTAATCATCTGTAATATTTCTTACTTTATACATGTAATAATATAAGTATTTCTTTATTGGATTCTCTACAATTAATTGTTTTTTTTTTATTCAAGACAATTATAAAAGGGCAAACACCTGAAATACTGATAAATTAAAGACAGACACTAATTAAAATTAGAAGAAAACACATACAAAAAAAGTAGTTTTTCTCAAAATTTCTTTAAAACTATACTTACTTTTAAGATAAGCAATGAATATCAAATTTACGATAATTCAAAGTCATATAGAATGTTACGTAAACACTGCTTTGAAAATATTCTCCCAATAGAGCACAAATTAGTATAAGGAGTCGAAAATTTAAATTTTAGCATAAACGAAAATTTTTTTATCTATATTTAACGAATCATTTGTGAGGAAAACATTCTGATTTCCTGAAAAAACATGGAGTTAATTCGAAATATCATCTTTCAAACATTAAAGACAGTCCTTACGGAACGTCATCAATCGAAAAGAAAAAAAAAACACTTTAAGGGAAATTTGCCGTAATCAGCGTAGTTTTGCTCATTAGAATATAATAGTTCGTTACAATTTTGTTTATTAGAATATAATTGAAATAGAGAGAAATGTCCCATAATTCCAAAACGAGCCTAGTTAGCAGAATGTTTCTAATTGTGTGTGAGATAGAAGAACTCAGAGTTTATTTTCAATTATTTCAAATGTTTGTGCATATAGTTTGTAAAGTAGACAAGGTTGCGTAGCTTATAATTTTAGAGATTAGAAACTCGTTATCTTATTTTCGAATAAGAATTAGGGGTTACAAACTAATTTTTAAACGGGAACGATTCAGAAACTGCAGAATGACTAGTGAGGAAGGAAGAATGAAAAAAAAATTGAATGCTCGATGAAATTTAATATTATTAAACTTAATATTATGATAACTTAATTATTACAATTATTTATAACTTAATAGTATTAAACTGAATATGATAAACTTTATAATAATAGCCTTTCACTCAGTTTCGTTTCGTCGAAATAAAAAATCACGTTTTAACGTTATCAGCCACGCTTTCTCCAGCAGTAATTTTTTTTTGATTTTTCTAACGCTCTTGTTTTTCTCTCGCTTAAATACGAATTTGAAACCTTTAGCATGCACGTTGTTTCACTTCATTTTTAGAGTAAGATACTTAAAAATTACTCACAGATAATCAGTTATATGTAAGTAAATATTTCTTTGGGCAACACAATATTAAAGTTTGTGTAATGAAATTAGCAAAAAATTTTAAAATGAAATCACCTATGAGCTTTTTATTCTGAACTTAACTCAAAAGACGTGCTTAAGAAAACAGGCATAACTCCAAATACGTATTTAATAAAATGGACATATATATATATATATATAGTGTATTTTTTAAAAAAAATAAACTAATGAATGCAAATAAACTTGTAAAGTAATGATGTAAATTTGTGTAAATCGCTTAATTTTTAAAAAATTTAAATTAGCTTTTATAAAGACTTTAAAAGTCGTCAGTTGTTTTTACAAGGTTGTTCCTATTAAATTTATAATAATGGTAATAAATTCACATTGTAGAGGTGTTTAGATTCTTAAAAACCATTTTATCTTTAAGTGTTCTGAATACGAAGAGATCTTTTGAAAACTTACATCCGTAATATATTCAACTACCCCAACCCCGAAATTCTTCTTAACGATTATGATAAATGCTTAAAAAAGTAATGAAAATTACTTTTTTAACTCGTTTAGTAGTTAAATTTGAGTTTATCCAATTTCTTAAATAGACATATTGAGTCATTTCCACTTTTTTAATTATGCAATTTGAGTTGTATCCATTTTTTAAATATTCATTTTTAATCATTTTCTAAGAGACATATATTTAGTATCGGATATTTTCTTAAATATGCTTTTAGAGATTTGATCATTTTCTGAAGCATGCAATTAGAGCTACACCCATTTTCTGAAATGCGCATATTGAGCAAACGACGATTTTCTTAAATGCGAATGTCAAACTCCAAATACGTTTAAGAATAAGTTCATATTCTTAAACACGTTTCTTGAGCTATGCCCATTTTCTTCAATATGCATTTTGAGCTATGTGTATTTCCTTAAATGCGCATATTAAGCTTTGACCATTTTCTTAAATACGCATTTTAAACTAAGTTCAATTTCTTAAGTACGCCTTTTAAGCTATTTTCTATGTCCTAAATGCGCATTTCAAGCTGTGTCCTTTTCTTTAATACGCAATTTGAGCTTTGTCCAGCATAAAAAAGCTCATTGATGAGATGTCTTTCTGAATTGTGCAATTATTTCAAATACTTGAACAATTATCAAACGACAATGCCTTTGATAATTTCTTTTAATTATAATTTTTAAACAAACACTGCTTTCAGGAATTTAATTCATTAGATTTAATTAAGGAAGAATATTAATTTTATTTTACTCGGATTAATCAATATTGCCTAAAATTAATTCGTTTTAATTGGACACAAGCCATTTATGCCAAAATTGCATTAAATTTTATTTAACAATGATTTATTTTAATTAAATCAGCACT